TTTTTTGGGCCATGAAGTAGCACATAATAGCTCGTTACATATGTAGCCCAAATTAGAATTAAATGAGGAGCAAATTGGTCATTTTCATGAATTTTAGCTTGTCTTCCTCAAGCTTTAATCATACAAACCGACCATCCACTTCCACGTTGTAACCCATGGCTGCCACTGCACGTCCGACCAGCCCGCATCAGCTGGAGCTTTGCTGATGCTCGGAATCTAGAGATACATATACGACCGCCACCGTTGCCTTGTGGCCGGAGAAGACGCTTTGAGGGGTTGTGCGACCATCGAGAAACTGCTGTCGCCAGGCTGAGGGAGAGCTGACCAGAACTCGCCATGTCCGACCGCCGAAGACCACCCCTTTCGCCGGAAACCGCACCAGAAAAAGTTGTTATCAGAAGCTGATGGGAATGATCAAATTTTTTCACGAATGGGAACCTCCATGTACGGTGGACATACTTTTCATCGCTGGGAGGCCACATGTGATTTCGAATATATGTCCAGGAGAATATATATGCGCTATAAATAAAATTCCGAACATGTACAACCTTCCAAGACAAATACGAGAAGTGTGACTTCTGACACGAGTCCTATTGCTCCGAGCGGGTCCAAAACAAGCTCTCAAATTTGTCACACAACTTATGTGACATTTCCACACGAGTCGTGTGGGTCTGGGCGCAACGAAATCAGATTTTTCGATCTAGTTCGACTAGGACTCGAATCCAACTTTTAAAGAACACTAGGACACATATTTGAATGAGTCTTTGGGAGCTTTTCAGAGTTTTGGAGGTCTTTGGAGGCTAGAAATACGCGCAAGACGAGCAAGAAAACGGGGAAGGAGAGATCGACAGAACCGAATAAGTTTTTTCTTTCCATTTCTTTTCTCTTTTCAAATTCAATGTTCTACATTTATTTTTCAGATTTTAGACGCATGTTTTTAGGCTATTAGATTCTATGATTTGTTAATACTCGGATTGATTTATAATCTAAGTTTTATTGCTTTCATTCTGGTTTACCTTTCGTTTATCTGTTTCTTGTGCTTCTTATTATTGTATGAGTAGATTACCAATATGAATGCATATTTGTGATTGATTTGAGTCCGAGAGGTGATAATTGATTATTGTAACTCGAAAATTTGTGACATAAGAAAATAAACAGACCGAGATGTTGATAGGATCTTTCGAGAGAACAAAAATCCTAGAAACTTATGGAGTTAGTTGTTCATCTTGAGACCGAGAGGAGATAGATTGTTGTAAGTATTTTTACCGGAGTAGAATCGAAAGATTCAACACCGGGTCGTATC